TTGCTATAGTCTCTAAGTTTTTGGTCCATTTCTTCATATTTGGCCTGGACCGAGGCCAGCTCCTTCTCCTTGGATTGCAACTACAGGTTCTTCTCCTCGAGGGCTACCTTCTCATTCAAGGTCAATCTCTTTCAGCATGAGATTCAACTAATTCCTGCCTTAAGTCTCTCGAGTGCTTCTTGCAGTTCATCATGACTGTGCTCATCTGCAAAGAACAAGCAAAAAATATGCATGCATTCAAGTCAAGATTGTGATGATAAAGGAGCATGATATATTACAAAGTACTTGCCGATTTCAAGCTGTCTGCCTCGGTTAGTGAAGTGGCAAATTCCTCTAGCAGGGGGCAGTTAATTGTTGGTGGATCACTGAAAGTATAAACTGTAGCAGAGGGGCCTCCTTCGAACAGCTGGGCAGGTAGAATGGTCACACTCCCCTCGAGAGGGCCCTTACCTTTTTCCATAGCAGGAGGTTTAGTGCTTGGCCCTGACTCATTCACTGTGTGCATCTCATTCTCGGCGCATGGTGTAGCTGTCTGTTATGTTGGAGGAACTCTTGATTATTTGATAGCAGGAGGAATTGTCTTTTCTCACTGCTTTGCCGAATATGTTTTCTCCTCGACAGGAGTGTCCGTCTTTGATTTCTTCCTCAGCTCTTTCTCGGAATCCTTCCCGATCCTCTTCTTCTTCTTCTTCTTCTTCTTCTTCTTCTTCTTCACTGCTATTTTTGTTGTCGATGTTTCTCCATCTGAATTCACAACATTAAACAGGTCGGCGTCAACATATATTCTAGAAGGAGCATTCCCCATGACATGACCTATAAAAACACCAAGATAATAAGAGATTAGTACTTTTTTTTTCTCCTCGACAGGAATAGGGGGAATGTAATGTTGCACTTTATTCCATTTAATCAATTTTGGGTACTTCATTAGTTTCTTCAGGTCTTCTTCAAACTCCTCGACTTCCTCATCGTCCTCATCAGTCCAGTCATTTTTTATTGCTTCAAAATCATTGGTCTCTCGATGATTTCAGGCCACACAGAAGTTCTCAGGCGCTTTTACAAATAGATAATCTGGCTTCCATATTGGTGAACCACCATACGCCTCTACAATCTTCTAGGCCCCCGACTTGGGGTTCTTTTTCACAATATATCAATCTTGGAACGACGTCGAGGGCACAGACACATTGAAGAAATACCTCCACAAAATCAAACGAGGTCTAACCTTCACTCGTTCACATATTCTTGCGAAGCCGAGAACATATGTTATTAAATTTGGTGTATACCGAGACAGAGGAGTTTTGCAATGTTGCACAATCTCCTCAAACAACGAAAAAAGAGAAAATCTCAACCCAAGATGTATAAAAAGCTCGTAAATGGTGATTTTTCCCTTTGGAGGAGTATTGACTCTTTCAGTACCTAAAGGGACTCTAGCGTCTAGGTCTACAGGCAAATCGTATCTCGTTTTCACATCCTGGACTTTATCGTTAGAATCAATGGAGGATGCAAAGTCATTGACAGTTTTCAAGTCGGGATTCCTGGCCATAGTTATCTACTTACAATAGTAAACCTAGATCTACACCGAAATATGAAAGGGAATTTGAAACGGGTGAAATGAAAAACCAAGATGGACAGATCTGAGAACTTACTGTTGGAATAGATTTTCACTCCCCTTTCGAGTTGTAGCCTCCCAAAATTACAGTAGTGTCCGGCTTCAGCAACTTATGGAAATCGCAACACCAACGATGCTGGGGCAATTAAATGGGCCGTCGGTGGAAAAATCGAGATAGCCTTCTTCAACTGTGGCTCCTCTCGATTTGGTGAAAATAGACACTTCCGGCGATGATAACTGGGGCACAACGGCGAGTATGGAGAAATTTGGTTTTCACAGAATGCGTTTTGAAAGTAGAGGAGAATGACGAGTCTAGAAGATTTTATGTACTGCTGTTACTGCCCACGACTTGACAGTTTGGATGAATTTCAAGGAAGTAGCAATGATGAAGGTGCCGCTGTTTAGGGAACGTGCCTACTAAAGACGCGCAGATTGATGTTTTGGATGGAATCCTAAAGCAGGCCGTCTCCTCAGTTCGGGTCTTGACCCGCGAACAATCCTATCAGGCTTATTCGATGTATGTTGGGCCGAGACTTGCTCATTCAACTTGGGCCGGGTCCAGGTATTATTTATGTCAAGTTTTATTTATTTAATACAACTAATACTTGACAGGGGCACTTGATGAGTCCATATCCAACGAGAATTATTGGACCGGGCCATCCGTCAATTATAGTCCAACTGACTTCACAGAGGCTGTTCATTAATAAAAAACCTAGTAGGATTCAGACATCCTTCAAGGTAATAAAAAATCTAGTAGGATTCGGACATCCTTCAAGGTAATTCCATGCCTATAAATAGGGTTGATCACACCACAATTGAGGTACGCTATCTCTAGCCCTCATAAACGGATACACACTTCTCCATAACCCTACTTTCTGACTTAAGCATCGGAGTGTGTACCCTCAAGAGACCTTCAAGACTCTGTTTAACAGGAAACCCTACCGGAGTTCCACTGTTAAGCCGATAATACAATTCCAGGTATCGTCAGAAATATATAATTATCCTCTTCTAGCATTTTGATCGAGCATATTTCTATTCATCTACAAGTCAAAGAGTTGTACTGTAAACAATGTTAATTTTACATTTCCATAATTTCGATCACATTTTAGATTATTTCATTTCGTTGTGAACTAACATGTTGTTCTAATTTGTTGTTAACTTGGGTTTCATAGGGAAAAAAATGTCTCCTAATTAATTAGTAATTTGCAAAGAAGAACGACATGCCGGCCGATCTGACCGGGGTGGTTCTTAATCACTCGGGATGATCGATCTGGGCAGACAGGAAAAGAATCGACACAAAAATTAACATAGAAATTAAAAGGACATGTGATTTCACATTGTTTTGACCGGTATCCAGGGCAAGTGTTGAGCTAGCAGATACCATGCTTTTGAATATGTACTTATTATTTTCTGTAAAAGAAAAATATGAAATTCGGTTTTAAAATTCATTTCTCCCGGATGAAACTGAAGTGTTGGCTGTAATGTTGTGTGATTTCGAGTATACTTTCCACCATTGATTTCTATCTTTGAAACTGTTTGTGTGCGTTTTTTGTTGCTTACGCTCACAAATGGAGGAGTAATATTGCTCCAACTTCTTGTCCATCATCTCAAGATGATGATGATGTTAATAATATGCTAAAATGGAGAATATTACAAGAGTTGCAACTCATTCTTTAACAGAGATTATAGAACCGTTGCCAAATACTATATATATTTCGACCTTTCTGAATCGCTCCATCTTTTTCAAATTCCCAAAGTTGAAAGAGTTGCACCAGAAGATGGTGGAATGATATTGTAGAGGTGATGGTGTTTTAGTTGGAGGCGACACACACAGGACAGCGTATCAAACTAATTTCGCCATTCTAGTGGTACTGCATTAGTACATTGGATTCAGTTGGATGATATACTGAGACCTAAATTATATATTGTCTCTGTCCAAAAATGATTTTTTTCGTTTGAAATGTTATTTTTAAATACCATATCTACTTAAAAATGAGAATTCCAAATAAATAATCATTGATCTTAATGTGATTTGTTGCCTTGCAACGCATCGTATCGCGGCTAAATTAAGTTTGTCAGTGATTTTGATCCTATATCATTTAAATCAATCGCTATCCAGGATGCCACATATCAACCCAATTCACCATTCTGGGATTACTAAAACACAAAACATGCTAGTCTTCAGAGGTCGGGACTAATAAACAGATGATTTTCTTAAGGCTTGGACTAAAACGGTGATTCCCATAAAGGTTGGATCTAAAATGTTAAATTGTCCCCCGACCACAGTATTTTATATATATATATATATATATATATATATATATATATATTATCATTCGAACCACTACCCTAAGTATTACTATCCCGAAAAGTAAACGAGGCAATGAAGTAAGGAAAGCGTAAAGAGGGAAATAGAAAACATCCAATCTACATCAATCAAGTAAGAATATAGAAGTGAAAAAGAATATCTTATTAAAAAGATTAAGAAATGTGTTGATCAATAATAAATAAATCCATCGTTTTCATTATCTTGGTGACTTTATGCAAATACCCTTTGCAATGCAAAGGAGATTTAACCAGAAGCAGACAAGTAACTCTTCAGTTTCGTAAAGGGACAGTGATATTCTGTGTTCCGAAATAATTATTCAACTTAAATTATCTTATTTTTAATATATACTACATGTAATGAAATTAAATTGATGTAGTTGAGCGACTCGATGATATTCTTTTCTTTTCTTTAGAACTTTTTCCCCTCCTCTTCAGCCTTCATTATGAATAGTGAATACTATAGGTGAAATTCTACTCCTTTACCTTCATCCAAAACTCCCATCAGTCTACAGAATTCGGTCAAAGGGAGAGCGCTCTAATTTATTAGTACGTTTTATAGTTCATACAGACTTGCAGTGTCAATTTTTTTTTAATCTCCTGTGTCCTTTTTCTATCCCTTTAAATAATAACTTAATAATTGCGAAGTAAACTTGTTGACAATTTGACGTCCCTCATGTCATCCGCAATATGTATTGTAATTCTCACTTTCCGATTTTCTACAAGAAGAAACAAAAGTGAATTGTCAACGAAAAAATAGTACAAGTAATCATACACGATCAAGTTGAAGCTTATTAGTTTTTGTTCACTTTCTTTTCATTTCTCTTTTTCTGGATCAAAGAAGCTAGCTGCACGTAGTTCATTTAATTAATTAATTAACTGGTATAACGTTGTGATCGAGTTGACTTTCCTTCCTCAACTTGTAGGTTGTCACTTCTCTTTTTTTTTTTCTTTTTTTTTTTGAGATGTGTGTCACTTCTCTTGATCTTCCGTCTGTTACCCTTTTTGCATCAACTCTTTTACAGCATTGGTTTCTTTTCTGCCTTGAATCTTAATTTGGTGATTCAAAATGGTGGGTGTCTTGTTATTGGATTTAAAAATTGCAATCGATGAGGTGCGACTATTAAGGTACGATCCCTGGCTATCAAGAGGGTTTGGGCTGGAGAGCTCAAAACCTGTGATTGTGGAGCTGGAAATTCTGTACGTCTTTGTTCGTTCCGTTTACGAGTGTTCCAAATCTCCGGCAGTTAAAATGAGTACTAAAATGGAATCCCTGTTAATCCAGATTGAAGAATTCTTGAAGGGTTTCAAGCATAATGGTTATACCGACTCTGACGATGACTGGCTGAAGATCCCTTCTCTTTACAATTTTCTCAACCAAGAAATCGGGCTTTTGAAGGCAAAGATCGTTGAAACTTGTCAGGCGGACGGATCATCTACATCTCCTAATTGGTTCTCCCAACCATTCCAGGCTGCTCTGTTCACCGCCCCTGCCTGAAAGTGAAGAAGAATATTACTCTATTTTTGGCGACTGGGGATTCTTCTATTTGTGTCTACAATCGAACATCAGCCATTTGTCGAAATCGTTGGTTGCATTTCCTTCCCTGAGGAAGCAAATGAAAGCCCTGGGAGAGTGTCTGAATTCCCTGATATACGTTTATAACATGGTCTTGGGAGAGTCGCGGTCCACTTGGAAAATGTACATGAGGCATCACATTGAAGGAAAATTCGTCGTGTTCGCTCATTTCTGTTGCTGGTGCTGTTATACTAAAGATTTTGTGTCAGTGATTAAGCTCGATGATGAAGAAGATATGGTTTTAGGCCTCTGCCACAACAAAATCGATCCTGCTACGCCCGAGTTTCTAGAGATTGCCATTGGATTTCTCCATCGGTGCAGCTATTCTGAGATTAGTACCGCAGTGCCACAGTGTAGCCGAGTTCTTTGCTACATTCTCAAGTTGTATCACAAGAACCTTTTTCACAAAGAGTTGAACTTTCTGCTTACCTTTCTCAGCCATTTCCCGCTGTTGCAAGAGTTTCTTATAATGGTGGATGATGGCGCATTAGTTGGAGGTATAAAGCGGCTTGTCATGGAGGCCGTGAATCTCAAGCTAAAACTCAAAGATCAATCCAGGAAAATCCTTAACATTCATTCTGCGGTTGTCCTGGGAAAAATTTGGCACCTGAAGGCTGACATTTTCATCCAAATTACTACCACCCTCCGGAAACATTTGCAGGAAGTCAATGAAGCCTGCCGCGCGCATTCCATGGAAGACCTCGTGAGAGCCCTTTCTGAAAGGCAAGAGAATTTTTCTGTGGATGAAACCCCTCGTTTCATCTATGTATGTCTGCACCAAATGTTTTCCATCTTGCTGTATGATCATCTGAATGCCCTGCAGGAGGGGTATACATTCATGGGTTATGAAATTCTGCCGCGCAAAGACAAGGAAAGGGAACCTTTGCTTGAGTTCATTGAAAGAGTTCCTAAGCAGCTGCAATCCGTCATTCAGTCTTCTAGAGAGGATGCCTACTTCGTAGCCATCAAGGTCCGCGATTTCCATTTCCAGTTTTATGTACAGATGATGCTATTTGAGGCCATTCAACTTTTAATGGTTGAGATAGAGAAGATAATTGAAAGTCTGTCGCACAACCTGGGCCAAAAACTTTCATCTCTTTTTGACAAATTATATATCATGCTGAGTGTAGCGGTTTCTCAGACAGCGAACAAAGTTACTGAAGACGAGAAGCTGTTGTTTACAGATTTGGAAGTAGTGGCTACCGAAATGATGTCTCTTTGTATTGCAATACATTCCGACAGTCTCACTGAAGAAGAAGTCCTGGATGTGGATTTCAGGCTTCTTGATTTGTTACAAAAATTAGAGCATTTGAACCTACAGCTCAAAGAGATTTATCTTCAATTCCTAAGGTTTACCCCCAAGACTACTCCTGGATCGTGCCTATTCTTCCAATCTCTCTTACAAAAGTTTAGATATATGATTGAACGTAAGCAAGATTTCGCAGAACCTGCTGTCGATCTGATTGAAGAGATCCGCGATAATTTGGAGTTCATAATGTCTACTTTTGGGGATCTTTTTGAGCGAGGATCCGAGGAAACAGGATTCAAAAACCTTCAAGCACAGCTCACTGATGCGGCTTATGTAGCAGAATACATGGCTGACTTAATAGTGGTTAATGATGATGCCGTGAGGAGATATTTAGTGGGGCTTCAGCATTCATCCGAAGAGATTGAACGCGTTAAGCTGTTGCTTGGTGATCTCGACAAGGACACCACTTTTGATCATGGGACAGAAGAGGTTCCCCCAGTGTTGAAGCCGCCTATAGTGTTGCAGGCTACTACCACGAGAATTGAGCACGGTATGGTTGGCCTCCTTGATGAGAAAAAGAAGATTGTTGAGCAACTTATTAGAGGTTCTAATAAGCGAGAGATTGTCTCCATTGTGGGAATGCCAGGAGTGGGGAAAACCACCATGGCGCTTAATCTGTTCCGCAGTGAAGCTGTTAAGCATCATTTCTCCATCCGCGCCCGGTGTGTGGTTTCACAAAGATATAATAAGAGAGATTTGTTGCTAAGTATCTTAAGCCACATTATCTCTATCACCGATAGTACCCATGCCATAAGTGACGATGATTTACAGTTGATGTTGTACCGAAAACTGAAGACAGAAAGGTACCTGATTCTTATGGACGATATGTGGAGCACGAAGCCATGGGAGGATTTGCAGCTTTCATTTCCAGACGACTCAAATGGCAGCAGGATCTTGATAACTAGTCGTCTTCAGGATGTGGTTTCAAAAATCAGTGTTCCTAATCCTCTTCGTCTACTCTCTGAAGAGGAAAGTTTCAAGTTACTGAAGATAAAGATCTTCTCAAGTGAAAAATGTCCAAAAGAGCTGTTGGAAATTGGAGAGGATATTGCCAAACGATGCCGAAGGCTCCCACTCGCTATCGGTGCAATAGCTGGTCTTCTTCGTACGAATGTGAATCAGGTGGCGTGGAAAGAAATTGCTCGGAGTGTTAGCTCGCATGTCATCAATGATCCAGAAACTCAGTGCAAGGAACTCCTAGAACTGAGCTACAACCATTTACCGGATCATCTCAAAGCTTGCTTGCTTTATGTTGGAGCATTTCCAGAGGATAAGGACATTCCGGTCCAAAAATTACAGTGGTTGTGGATGGCCGAGGGGTTTGTACGCGAAGTGGACTCTAAAAGCGTCGAGGACATGGCTGAGGATTATTTCAGGGATCTTGTTGGTAGAAACCTACTAATGGTGGCCAAAAGAAGATCCAACGGTAAGGTCAAAATTTGCCGAGTTCATGATGTGGTACGTGATTTGTGCTTATTGAAAGCTAAAGATGAGAAATTCTCGGACCTGATATCTACTAATGATGAACCTTACTCTTCTTTTCATAATTTGGATTCTGATGTTTATGATGAGCTTTTTAGTCCTTCAGATTCCAGAATATACAGTAGGTATCGACTGTGCTTTTATGTAAACCGCGAACACTTTGCTGTGTCGCGGCCTTCTGGTCCATTCACTCGATCTCTGCAGTACATTGCTACTAGTGATACATATCCGAGATGCCCCTATGATGTATCCTTCATTTCTCACAACTTCAAACGTCTTAGCGTGTTGGATTTGGAATCCATCTATATGGGGAGCTCCTTTGGAAATGACATTGAATTGCTTGTTCTTTTGAGGTACTTAGCAGTTTCTGGTGACATGGAGTCTATTCCGCCATCCTTCTCCAAACTACAGAATCTGGAAACCTTGGTTGTTAAGGGTTTGAAGAAGAAGATAGTGCTTCCGGACACCATTTGGAGAATGAAAAAGTTGAGGCATATTCATATTACTAATCGCGTTATCTTCACTTTGCAGCGCACTGAAGATGGAAGTTCATCAAAGCTAGACAACTTGGTGACACTTTCTGTTGTTTTCCTGAAACATGGGGAGGGAGGCAACTAATGACTTGATGCTGAGGTTTCCCAACCTTCAAAGTTTGAGTTGCTTTGCATTAGGACCAAGTGATGTTTCGACACCATTTTCTCAGTTTCTTACATTGGAATCACTATGCAAGTTGGAGTCGCTGAAGATAACATACTTCGGCAGGGTTCTCAATGCCGGTGAACTGCACTTCCCCTGCACTGTAAAGGAGTTGACTCTTTCGAAATTCTGCCTGCCATGGAGTCGCATCTTAGTGATTGCGAGATTAGAGAACCTTGAGATCCTCAAACTGATCTCAAGAGCATTTGAAGGGTCAAGTTGGGAGATGCAAGAAGAGGAATTTTCCAAGCTGAAGTACCTGAAATTAGACACACTAGACATTGTCCATTGGACTGCCTCCTCCATTGATCACTTTCCTGAGCTGCAGCAGCTTGTTGTCCGAAATTGCAAGCAGCTTCAGGACATTCCCTCTGACTTTGCTGGTATCTCAACATTGGAGAAGATTGAGGTTCAGCAATGTGGAACTTCAGTTGAAGAGTGTGCCAGAAGAATTGCAGATGAAATAGGCGAGGGGATCGAGATTATCACCAGCAACTCGCATTCAGATTAAATGAAGTCTCGAGTTAACATGATGATAATCCTCTTCTTGACAAGTTATTCATTCACCATTTGTGTTGACTTGGCAGTTCATATACAGTATGTAACATGCTTGTAAATTTAGTCTATTTAAATCTCTTCCTTTAATCATACAAGTTGTATCTTTGCAATTGCAGCAGTGCATTTTATTCGAATGATTAAACCAACAATGATCTTTTTTTCTTTCGATATGCAGGAGCTTTATGAAGGTGTCAGGCAGGTCAAGAAGGTGCCACCTCCCCTTTTGCTAGAAATTTGTAGATTCTGCTGCATTACCAACCCAATTCCTCAACATGGCATGAAGTTCTTTGCCTTTGAAATGGAACTAAGATGCTGGAATTTCCCAGGGAGTTTTTGACTGTTCTCTTCTGAAAGTAGCTCAAGATTCCTACTACGAAAACACTGTATAACGTTTGCTGTTCAGGATGAAATATTTTTCTGTATTAAGAAATTGAATGATGGACCTGCCAAGCTCGAAATATTTGGTCTGGCTGTTGTTTCTTTTGTTTCTGCTGCTTTGTGCTTGTAGTTCATACCCAGAGTTTTTCTGCGTTGGTTTCAGACTTTCAGTTGGGTGATTTACTGAAATCGGAATTATATATTTCTCTTGCAATGTTGGTTTGTTCATTGTACACAGTCTGCATTTACTAGTATCATCAAGAAATTGCGCTGAAATTTGTCACGTGATTTCTTCATCCTGTTTCATTTAAAGCAAATGGAATGGAACATTGCGACAGTAAATCCATCTAGAAGTAGATATTGATTAAAATTGTGTTGGTAATGGTTGTGGTCATTTAGAGGAATCATTAGTTAGTCTTTTTTATATGAGGAAAGGCATTCTGGCATTGAGAAAAGTCTGTCCTTTAAAAGGCAGGAAATATAAATACCAGTTGACAAATGAAATGGACAGTCTTAGCAAAAGATCTGGCAACATTTAACCTACAAGGATCGCAATATACTCCCTCCCTCCCATAACTATTGACCAGTTTGGATTTTCATTTTTAGTTTAAATTGTACTAAAACTGAAATCTCAAACTGGACAATAATTTTGGGACATGAGAAGTATCTATTTGTGGTACATTTCTTCTTTACCTTTACAAACTTGCATGTGTAAGCAACAACAAAACTGGGTAAAACCTCTTTTTTCTTGGCACAATTAATCTCATGAGGTCATCAATGATCAACCAAAACCAATTGACTTGTAAACTTCAAACAACGTTAACAATGTAGCACATGGTGTTTAAGTGGATCGAAAACTTATGTCGAATGATTTTTTTATAATGTTTTTGCATGTTTTTACGGCATAATATGTTTTTTTTTAAAACTATAATACTCCTATTCGAATCCTCAAAATAAGCGTTTCAAATGAACTATAATTATTGTTTTTTACCTTATTAAAAAACTATTGAAATACACCAATAATATAGTGAAAAACAACGTCTGTTTATAACAATCCAAACTTATACCGATTTAAGCCAAAAGTGGAGGAGTGTCAGTGTATCACACGAATTGATTTCATCATTTTTTCAGAAGGACTGGAAATTCCGTACTGAAAAATGTTTCTCCGAAAACTCCCAAACAAACACGCCACTGCCCACTGTGTTCTTAGCTCACCGTATCATAACGGTCCGATTCTGTGTTCTACTTTTTCGCCTACCCCCCCTAAAACAAGAATCCTCTAGACGCATCCTCACCCTTCTACACCTGCACCAGCAAAAACAATACATTTCCCACTCACATTTGACCACGTGTTTGTTTCACTCCTTTTCCTTTTATCCAATAGGTCCCTTCTTTCGTGAATCTGTCAAATAGGCCCAATATTTTAGAGAATCGATTGAATTCATCCTTTTACTATCCAAAATTCTTCCATCTCCAGAATATGACTAATTTTTTCTTTTTTCAATAGATAAAAGCGAATAATAACTATATATATAAAGTATCAAACATCTCACAAAATGTCTTAAAAGATCGTTATAGAAAATAATTCATTTTTGTAGAGACTATAAAAAATATTGTTAAATATTAAAATTTGAAAGATGATTTATATAATAAGCAAGCACGATAGCGACAGCGACATATGATTCATATAACCGATTCTACTTAATGGAAAAAAAAAGACTTGTTATTACATTATTTTTTGAAATTGGTGGATGACACATTATTCATTAACCAATTTTAAAGAAAAATACCCTATTTTGGTTTCCTTCTTCCCATATGTTGACCTCTATCTCAAAATAAAATGAAAAAAGATCAAAATTAATAAAGAAATCCTGGCTTGAATTGTAGCAAAATGTAGGAGACCCATCTAGAAGTTTTCCCAAAGTCAAGGGTGTAGATTGCAATAATTCCCTAAAAACTAATCCAACGGCTATCCCTCTTCCTCATCTTCCAACCTTATATTCTGGGAAGAAGACTTTAAACACTATCTTTTACGCGTTCTCACTTTGCAATTTCGACGACGCTTCCTTTCTCATTTTTCTCTCTCTAAAATCATCTCATAAGGTACGGCCGCGCTTTTCCTGGTCGGCATAGAGTTCTTATATTTGTTTATATGCGTGTATAAATATATTTTTCTGGGTTTTTCATTTCGGATTTTTTCATTTGGTTCAGAGAAGTCGAAGATAACAGCGTTGACCGGGTTAAATCTGTGCTTACTTTGACGATCTAACTCAATTAGGTGAGCAATTCTTGTGATTCTTGCTGATTATTTGTTGATTTTCATTATGGGCTTGTCTTTTGGGATGTTGAAATTATGTTAATTGGTGGGTTGGGGTTTGATTTCTTTGATTTGGTGTTTAATTGAACCTTCTTGCTATAGATCTATGCTGGGTTTTGTGTCTTTTTGTGGAAAGATTGATACTTTGATGGAGTATTTGTTTAATTAGTTGATTTTTCTGCGTTTCTTAAGCTTTGAAATGATATCCTGAAGAGTTCTTGATTATCAATTTCATTTATGTTTCGGTTTTCTTTGAATTTGACCAATAATTAGTGATTTCCTATCTATTGAGTTGTTGAATGAACAACTCTTTAGAGTTTGGTCATTTCCTATGTTTTGATTTGTTAGATGAACAACTTTTAGAGGTTTGTTAGGTGAAACTCAGTTTGAATCTCATAGCGGTTCTGTATTTGGAGACAAAGGAGGTTTCAGCTGGAATTCACTAGTCTTTAGTGAAATAGGGTTGGTTTCATTTCGGCAAAGCTGTTGCTATTAATTTATTTTTGAATTTTTGTGTAGTAATAAGGGTTTAAATGGAGCAATTTGTTATTCATGTATATGGATCTCATATATATCTTTTCATTTTGGTGCAGTTCAATATTAAAATGAGCCGTGCTCAAGAACCAAACAGGCCATTCCTTCCATTTGGAAATCCTTTCAAGATGATGTTACCAAAGGGCTCATATCTTTCTCCCAAGCTTATTGAGCTACTGAACTCTTTTGAGAAAACACTTGCTCAGCGGTTTAGAAATCTTAAGCCACAGTCCAAGGAGGATATATTAACCCTGGGATGGATGAAATGTGCCATGGAGTCTCTCTCTGCTATTCATACTGACATAAAGGAACTTATCACAGGACTTGAACTTCCTGTTGGTGATTGGGATGAAAAATGGGTTGATGTGTACCTGGATAACAGTGTGAAGCTACTGGATCTCTGCATCGCTTTCAGCTCTGAGATTTCAAGGGTCAATCAAGGCCATCTGTATCTTAAATGTGTTGTCCATCATTCTGAATGTGCTTCCTCAAATAAGTTTGTCCGTGCTTGTTCGTCCTTGGATGGCTGGAAGCAGCATATTAGTTCCAAGAACCCGAGGATGCAGAGCTGCTTCACCATATTGGAGAATCTTATTGCGACACTTGACCTTCCTAAGATCAAGAATTCTTCTAAAGGAAAGGTTTTGATGCGAGCCATGTATGGAGTCAAGGTTGCTACGGTTTTTGTCTGTAAGGTGTTTGCTGCTGCCTTCTCGGGTTCTGCCGAGAAGTTTCTGGATTTGCATGTTCCAGAGACTCTATTGTGGGCGGAAGCATTTAATGATCTGCAGGCTTTTGTCAATGGCGAGATTAGAAGTAAATACTTCAGTGGGAAGGCCACGGTGTTGAAGGAACTAGAAGCTGTTGATGCAAGTGTGAAGAAGTTGTACCCCATTGTACAGGAAGGAGGGGTAGATGAAGAGTTTAAGAGTTCAAGTTTGGAATTAGGAAAAAGCGCTGAAAAACTTTCGGAAGGATTGGATTCACTTGCGAAGGAAGTGGATGGTTTCTTCCAGATAGTCCTAACTGGGCGTGATGCTTTACTTTGTAACCTTAGAGTTGGTACTAACGTCGCTGACAAGTCACAAGTAGAGAAAAAAAATGTTGCAGTGAAATGAACCTTGCTGAAGATAGGTCCGTCACAAGTAGAGAAAAAAAATGTTGCAGTGGTATGAACCTTGCTGAAGATAGTTTTCCTCTTGTACAAGAAGCGTGATTTAGTTATAATGTTTGTGTTTTATGGTTGCTAACATGCTGCAACTTTATTATAGACTTTGTGAAAGCTTGTTATTGTGAGTGCATGTTGATGTATGGCTGTATACGTGATTTGTGTAAGAAAACCTATTTATAATGTTAATAATATATAAGGAAAAGTGTTTCTTATGTTTGCCAATTGTTGTTTCTGAAAGCTCTTGTCATTGTGGCTGTTGCTTATGCTTCTGACTTCTGACTTCTGGTTGCTGCTCGTGTTTTTGTATGTAAAGACCTTCCTCCTAATTTGGTTTCGTTCGAACCATGTTAAATACCATGAACTGTATTAAATCTGTCCTTTTCAAATTTGATCAGATCAGTTGGACTGTTAGAGTATAATCTTTTGATTGGATTTGGTACCAGTTTTTGTTGCCTGGATATCCACATCTAGACACTGAAGGGAAATGATGATATGCTTTAGTGCAACACTGTAATTGTGATCTCTGTGTTATTTTCCCTTTCAATCAGATATGGAGGATTTACATTGAAGACTTTGTCAATTGTAAATGGCCAGAGTTTTGATTGTAGGATTCTTGGCAAGCAGGTACCTGGACACTGGAATCTTCCATGTAAATACTAGCTGGAAAACAGTCATCAAGTTGGTGCTATCAAAATGACACTATTTTAACAGGAGAAAGAAGTAAAGAGGGTTTTGTTGGGATGGAAAAACAAAAACCTCGAAGGACTCCAACTTTGACCGCATGTTTTCTCTTGCATACGATGTCAAGAATACGCTCAGCAGCCATACAAAACTGAAAGTTGGACGTTAGGGGAAAAGTATTTTAAGACTAGAAAATACATTAATTTAGAACTGATATTTATAGTACGTACTTTTTAAGAGAATACTTGGTCACAACGGCTTTCAATGATATCTTTTCTGCCCAACTTTGTTGTTGAATAAACACGTTATTTGATGAATATAATCAAATATTTTATTAATTTCTGTCCCAAAAAAAAAAGTTTTATTATTATTTACTCCCTCCGATACTTATTATAAAACATTTTGATTTCGTCTTAGGTTTCACCTATGATGTCTTTTTAATTAAAATAAAAATCTTAAAAACATTTCATAATAATTAGGAGAATACAACGAATGTGAAAATATATTTTTAAGGTTTTTTTCTAAATGAAAAGACATCCTAAGTTAAAATTAGGACGAAATCAAAATGGCTTATAATAAAGATTTATTAAAGGGAACGCTATAAAACAACATAGGTAAGATTATTATAGGATTATAGCAAATCCCCTTCTCCTGTGCAACCAAAAACCTCGTCAGCCACTGATCAGTCCTCCCTTGTAAGAACGAGGAAAATAATTAGACCAATAGTTTGGAAAATCAAACTTACATCTTGTGAAAAGAAGCCATTTTAAAATATGGAAATCTTCGTGGAATTAAAGAAAAAATCACCCCACGAGACAAGAAATTGACTCCCGTATTCAAACCAATTTTAGCTTTGTGCCAAATGTAAACGTTTCTTGTATTCTGGTAGAATTACCTTTGCGTGGTTGGAGGTGTTGATATTTTCAACAATTCTTTTTCTTTCTCATATAGAATTTCAAGCAAACTCCACACTAAAACACGGCATGAACTTGATGGGTTATTTAATATATGTTAATTTTGCAAAATGGAATTCACATGTAAAACACGATAATTATAACTCTTACGAATATAACCCGTCCCAAAAAAAAAAAAAAACAACAATACATATTGTGATACAATTCACAAATTATAATGTGAAATATTTGTTTGGAACGGAAGACATCTTGTTATTTATGAGTCTTAAACATGAAATATGACTTAATTACCTCAAACACGTGTGTATGGAGTAAGTTGTAGAGTTCAAAAATAACAATTCGTAGCCAACCCTAAAACAATGGAGTAAAATTGGAGGTTACCAACGTAGAACAGTATGGCCAGGTGTATGGTGTAATATTCATTTCCTGCATGAACGAAGATTACACAATCCAGTTCATTCATTTCATGATATCAATAAGTATCGCTCTCAAGGATTAAATAAGATGAACCACGAAATTTTTACTCTTTTTTAAAATGATTATTTCATTTGTTCTATTAAGACACGATAATCAATTTTTGATCGTATTATAAACATTTCAAATTTTAAATACCTTATTCAATACGTATTATAGACCAATTTGAACAATAAACAATTTTAGCCTTTTTATAGTATCATGAATACTCGTGTTTCCTATTAAGAGAAAATAACATTTGTCATGAATAAGAATTATATGGGAGAGTATGCGAGAAAAATTTATATTTTTTCCATCCTGAAATCGTTGTCCAACTTGAATTTTTATTCTTGATACAAATTGAACTAAGAGTGAAAATCTATTCTGAGCAATAATTATAGGGTCTAGGAAATAATAATGAGTTTTGATATTAAATCTCCATCGGAAGAATATAACAAAAACTATTTATTTTTCAACTCAATGAAAGGAAAACCTCATCGATGGAATATTTTCAGTTTGAAAGATTAAAAAAAGCTTTATTAAATAAATGAGAGGCAATAATTGTGCATTTACGATTGCTGTAATTTTATATATTATTATTTCTTTTCCAAAATTAAAATAATTCCTTCGAAAATATAAAAATGAAGAAATGAAAGAAAAGAAAAAGGGAAAAAGTAACCCACCCAATTAAAAAAAGTCAATATAAATTCACGGGTTAAGTACCCAGTTCCAGTTCAAAAGTTGACACGCTTCAATTTTCATCACCCAACTTTCTCTCTCTAAGAAGAAATGTAACCAAAAGAAAAAAAGAAAAAACCAAAAAAAATTAAGGAAAAAACACAGCAGCTCACCAGAGCAGCAAATGTCAAAAAAGCTTTCTTTCTTCTTCCAGACCCCTTACATCAACCGACAAATCCTCTTCACAAACTTCAAATTTTGAGCCAAGAATTGTCCTTTCGAGTTGGGTTCTTGCTAATTTCACTTGGGTCGCTCTTCATTTCTTTTTTTTTTTTTTCGAATTCTTTCTTTTTTTTTTTTGTTGGTTCGTTTCGATTCAGTAGTTGTAGAGTGAAAAGGCTAGAGAGAAAAGAGAAAGAAATTTTTGATATGTCTGTGGAGTCGAGCTCAGGTTTGGGAGGAGATCATCATCACCATGGTCATAATGTGAAAGGAGTGCCTACTCATGGTGGGCGTTATGTTCAGTACAATGTGTATGGGAATCTCTTTGAAGTTTCAAGGAAATATGTTCCTCCTATCAGGCCCGTTGGCCGTGGGGCTTATGGAATTGTTTGGTAAGCTTCTTCTTGTAGGAACTTTCCTTTTTCTTGAATCCTTTTAATGGGTTTTAGTTACCTTTATTGTTAAGTGTTGATCTCGCCTTCTTCCAAAGTTGCAAAGGTCCAGATTCTTGTTATCTGGGTTTTTTTCCTTTATTTTAAGTTCTGTTGAATTTTGAATCAATTTCTCTTAGACATCTATGCACTCGTTACCAATTAAAGATTTTGTAAATGCTGTAATAAGTGAATTCCCTTTTTGGGAGCTGGATTCAATTATTTATGAAAAATTTTTACATTGGCAGACAGATGGATAAGTTCAAATTCAAGGCTGGGAAGTAGGTCTTTTAAATTTATTAAAACTTTCTGAACTGAATCGACGAATGGACTGAGCTAATCGATCAGATCAAACAGGGTACATAACCCTTATATGACTAAATAAGTAGGCTACAGGATGTGGTTGATTGACTGTTAACCGAGGAACTTAGGACTCCATCTGGTTGCTCTACCGTAGCCAATGATGAGGCAATAGAAATGTTTGTCATCCTTTTCATTTAGTATATGTAACTTTCTTCATATTAATTCTATATCCACTTTCGATTTTGGTTTAACATAAACTTTTGGTTAGTTTTAATCAAATTAGTTCATGGTGATTTGAGTATATCAGTAGTGGTGGTTCAGGATGTCATGAATGTTTAAGTGATTTCTGCATATTGGTATGAGTATTTTAGCTCTACGTGTGTTGCTAAAAGAATTGGGTTACTTTACTGGTTCCCTGATTGTATGGACCTTTTTTCTTGTGGATGCTGGTTAAGAAGTTATATTTGATTCAGCTATTCTTCTAAGTTGAAACCTTCAGGTGATGCAGGGGATCATAAGTTTGAGTAAAATGCTAGTTTAGAGAATCTTATTTAAGATGTCCAATCTTCCCAAGTGCATCTGATTCACACTCTATTTAATGGAATTTCCCAAGTTATCAATTATGGAGCAATTTGTAATTCTTTGTTCCATTTGATTTAGTGCTGCTGTGAACTCAGAGACACGTGAAGAAGTAGCAATTAAGAAGATCGGCAATGCTTTTGACAACAGAATCGATGCGAAAAGGACATTACGAGAAATAAAGCTTCTTCGTCATTTGGATCACGATAATGTAAGCACCACTTTGAACCTTATCTTACCGAAATGTCTTAACTGAGATTAATCTGTATTTCTTGCTTGCTTATTTGTGTAGTTTCTTTGTGTTGGCCTTTTTTAGCTGATCCAAAAGCCTTTTGTTTTCCTTATCATTTCATAAATCTTTAATTTGCTTCACGTAGCTGAGAAGAGATGCTGCCACTAAGAAATTTTCTTTCTTTTTGTTCTTATATGAGTTGTGGGAAAATAATCCAAGTCTCCCTGTAATGCATTGCTGATAAACTAGATACCTTAAATGCTTCAAGCATGGAGCAAAGTGAACGGCAGTACAAGCCTTGAACATTCTCAAGATTGTTTGTGGAGAGAAACTAATTAGGAGCAGAGCAGGAGATGATTGAGTGTATTGCAGATGTTTATGCTGCAGACACATCTAGGTGGTGTTAGATCCCAAAGTTGGAGTTATGCATATCATAGCTTCATCTGGCACATTATAAAAATATTTAATATTAGATGCTGAGAACGAATTTTCTGAAATTGAATGTAGGCCATCAATGTAAATCTTCCTTTCACAGTGTTTTGATACAGCTGTTAAAGTCAAATCATGACAGAGCCATAGTCCTGGGAAATAATTTTTCACTTCTGCTTTCATGGTGGACAAAATTCCCTCATCTGTTGTTAAAATGGGACAAGAAATGATCATGCAATTACTTTGCTGTATACCTGTCATATGTATGATCTTATTTTCTTAAGTCGCTAGACTTGTGTTCTTATTTCTCTTTGCATTCTAGTACAGCTTAAGACCTACTGTTTGAAAAGACATCTTAATATTTAATTCAAATGTCCTGGCACAGATTGTTGCAATTAAAGACATTATCCGTCCTCCTCAAAAGGAAAACTTCAATGATGTCTACATTGTCTATGAACTAATGGACACTGATCTGCACCAGATTATCCGGTCCAACCAACAGTTAACTGACGACCATTGTCGGGTTTGCTTCTTACTTCCTTGCATATGATCAAAGTTATCTATTTCATGATTGTCATTTGTTCACTTGAAATAATCTACAAGTTTTATTGCATATTTGTGCGAATAACACCCTCTATTACTCTGTCATTACCCTGTTCTTTCAGTCTTGTAATCGATACATCGCTATTTTGCAGTACTTTCTTTATCAAATTCTACGGGGACTTAAGTATGTTCATTCGGCGAACGTGTTACACCGTGATCTCAAACCCAGCAATTTGCTTCTCAACGCAAATTGTGATCTGAAAATTGCAGATTTTGGCCTTGCAAGAACGACATCTGAGACAGATTTCATGACTGAGTATGTTGTGACTCGCTGGTATCGAGCTCCAGAGTTGCTATTGAATTGTTCAGAATACACTGCAGCAATTGATATTTGGTCTGTTGGTTGCATTCTCGGTGAAATCATGACGAGACAACCTCTCTTTCCTGGAAAGGATTACGTCCATCAATTGAGACTCATCACAGAGGTATGGTTCCCCATCTTGCCTTCTGTCATTTCGTTTCAACTTTCTTGCACATCACGACTTGGAGAGTTTACTATTCACTTGAAACAAGCCAGAAAGTATTTAGTGTTGGATCCCACTTGAATTCTAGGCAGTAGGCAATGAAGATACTTTGAGTTTGTGGTAAATGAAAACCAAATTGCCAGAAACATTGATGATTCTTTGTGTCCTTTGTACTATCCCTTTGTGTATCCTTCTTTGAAAGATGTGTTGCTATTTGCTATTGTGCATCGAATTTGATCCTGAGACACAGTTGTTTTCTACTTCCCATAGCTCATAGGTTCCCCAGATGATGCCAGTCTTGGGTTTCTCCGGAGTGACAATGCCCGTAGGTATGTAAAGCAGCTACCACAGTATCCACGGCAACAGTTTGCTGCCAGATTCCCTAACACGTCGCCTGGAGCCCTGGATTTGCTTGAGAAAATGCTCATATTTGATCCGAGCAGACGTATCACAGGTATATAGTGTGACTGATTACATTTTGCTAGTTGTTTTGTGTGGGTGATTTCATTCTTCATTCTTCAAGCTCTTGGAAGAAAACCTCCGAAAAAGGACCATGTAAACTGATTCTTGTGTAACGATCTAAACTGATTTATTTTTGGACAAAGTTTAGATTCACAAACTAATCTATTTCACTGTTGATTTCTTGACAGTTGAGGAAGCGCTTTGTCACCCATACCTGGCCCCACTTCATGATATCAACGAGGAGCCTGTGTGTCCTAGGCCTTTTGTTTTTGATTTTGAGCAGCCATCTTTTACTGAGGAGAACATCAAGGAGCTTATTTGGCGGGAATCTGTCAAATTTAATCCAGATCCTCCTCCTACTCATTGAGGATCCCAGGAAACTTTAATGTTGTATACAAAGATCGTTTAACATGACTTCTCCCTTCCTCATGATGTTTGTATTGAACCCCAGATGTTGGACAACAAAAAATTTGCCAAAAATATATATAAATCTGAGCCTAGTCAATGAATGAGTGAAAACCTTATTCTGCATCTCTTGTCAGAGTATTGCATCTGATTCGTGTTTGCATGTTAGAACTTAGAAAGTAAGCTGGACGCCATTTTAATCACCCTGTCAAAGGCGTTATGGTTTGTCTGGCTACTTTACGAAATAAAAAGCGTAGTTTAAAGGCAATTGTAGGATCTGGGATTGTCCTCATTTTGCTTTGTGGTTGTATTTGATCTCTTTATGGCTGCAATGTAACGTATGAAGATTGCACGTTTGTAAGGTTCAAACATTCAAAATGGATAACTTCACAATACAGTTTCCAGAAATAGGTCTACATTTTGAGACTACATATATCAACTAGTTACCAATCGGGTAAGTGCACTTTTGCATTTCTACTTTCTCAATATCCAGAGTGTCCTGGGGAAACACACAAGCCATTCCAGGACCTTGATCAGCCAACAATGAACAAGGCTGAGGTTCAACTCCACTGGTAATACCCTGAATGTCGGTACAAGTCCACGGTACTTTCTTCGCTTTCTGAGCCATGGAAATGGTCACATTAGACATGCATATCTCTGTGAATGGATCCCCAGAAATGCCTTCAAGTCTGGCAGCCATTTTCACATCATCAGCCACCACATCCCTGTAGTTGATTCTTGTTATTTCGGGTATAGCTTTAGGATCCCAGCCAGGATCAGGATGCGAACCATAGTTTCCTGTCATCCAGAATGCCCATTTCATCGTCTGCAAATTCATTCCCTTTACGTGTATGTCTTTCACGAATCCTCCTCTCCCAACAGCGGTTTTGATTCGAACTCCTGATTCTGTGTTTATGGCTACAATGTCTTCGGCGCGGACATCCTGGATTCCTCCAGACATTTCACTTCCTAGAGCTATTGCAGCACTGTATGGTGAAATGCAGGTTAGTCTTCTGATGACAAGTTGTCTTGTTGGCATTCCAAATGCAATGCCATATTCATCCCATCCACTCTTCACTGCAATGCAATCATCTCCAGACACAATGTAAACATCCTCAATTCTCGTGTTTGTGCAAGAATCTGAACGAAATCAAGGAAGATTCAAACTGGAGTCAATGACCATATATACAGAGCAAATCATCAATCTATTCCTGGAATAAAGAATAATGACAGACCAGGGTTGATTCCATCAGTGTTTGGAGATTTTATTGGGGCTAAGATTGTAATTCCTTGTATGATTATGTTACTGAAAACATCAGAAAGCAAAATGAGAATTTGAGATTTATGTCATTATCATCTCTTGGGGGAAAAGGGATGTAAAAAATTTACCTGCTGTAAATTGGATGGACATTCCAAGTTGGAGCATTAAGAAAGGTCAGGTTTGAGATCTGAATGTTATCAGAGTACATTATCTCAATCAGATAAGGTCTGGTGTATTTGAGCTTTTTATGGTGGAATTGATCCCACCAAATTTCACCTTGGCCATCAATTGTGCCATTAGCACCTACCAAGATTGCAACCCAAAAAAAAAAAAAAAGAAAAAGAAAAAAAAAGTGCTGATGAATATATGAAAATGTGCAATACTACAAGAAAATTAGCACCTGTAGAAATATTGTACGGTCAAGAAACAAAAAATTTCTTATCATGTACCAGCAAAGACGAAACACGACTCGATTGTTACCCTACTAAATTTTTTTATTGAAAAGGTTACATTGGGTATACCTGTTACAACAACATCAGTGAGGTTAGTTCCAAAAATGAGACTGATGTATCTTCCACCTGCTGCATCTCTTCCACGACCATAAGATGGTAAAGGACTAATCACTGGCCAGGTGTTAATATCCTGATTAAACCCAAATAAAAAGGAAAAACAAAAACCCAAGTCAGAGCTTAATTCATGGTGATGAAAATTAGTGATTAATCACCATTAATCTTAGTAATCATCATTGTTAAAAGGGAATTTTTTTTTTGAAGGGATTTGCCTGAGAAGCTAAAAGAACAGCATCTTTATCAAGATAAAGAGTGAAATGGCTGGTGAGATTGAAGCTTCCTGTCAACCATTTTCCAGCAGGAACAAAGAGCTGAGACCCTCCATCATATGCATACTGTGACAGATTGTTGATTGCTTCTTGGAAGGCCTTTGTGTTTAATGTCTTTCCATCTCCAACTCCTCCAAAATCTTCAATGGATGCACTGTGTTTTCTGCAACTGATGGCAGAATACTCAAAATTTGGCAATGACTCCTCAGAATGAAGCCTTGGTTTTCTGCACTCCACTTTGTTGCTGTTATTAATTAGGCCAAAAACTGCCCATATCACCACTATCCACTTAACAACTGACAGTTTCATCTGCAATCAAAACAGAAAAGAGCCCCCAAAACATTAACATTTACTACTAAAAAAGAACAAAAAAAAAAAAAAAAAAAACAGTTTGATTTCTTGTTTTCGAGGAATCCAACCGATGTTGTGACATTGTACCAATTTTTTGTGCATGCAGTTCAATGAAAAGAAAGAAAGTTGTATTTTGGTTTCTTAAGGAGATTATTTCATTTTGATGGAAAAAAATTGCTTGAAGGAATAGAAAAATAAGAAAGAGATAATTTTACTTGAATTTGATGATGTGGGAAGGAATTTTTTCTCCATAAGAAGTTCATTGCCACCGAGGGAATTTATGCAGAAGTGGTACTTGTATCACAAGGCCATAATGGTTTGTATTTATAGGGGGAAACTTAAGATGGTGAGAATCTGATTTTTACATTTTTTTTTATTTCTCTTTAGTATAAATGAGAAAAATTATGATTTAATTATTTAGTAATATGTTTTTGTTCGTTAATCGTGTTCACACAATTGTGAGTTGTGGTTAAATATATTAGGTTCTAATTGGTAAAAAAAAAAAAAAACATGAATGTGATCATATCTATGATTGTTACCTCAATTTTGATACAGTATGTTATACATTCCAAAAGTAAAGGAGACTACTACGGCCGCTTATTCCCTCCTTTGTATATATTTTTTTTTTGGTTAAAGGAGGAGAATATTTTTTTTTAATTTAGATTTATAATAAAGTTTAATAATGATTTCAACACCTAGCTAATAACAACAACAACAACAACAACAACAACAATAATTCTCATTTTGTCTTTTTTTTTTTTAACCTTAAAAATCGTAATTCCGCCACAACTCCTCTTTATCACAAACTATCGACAAAGATTGTGGACATATTCCTCTTCTTCCATTCTATAACCTAACATTTCTTCTTTTTTTTTTCATTATTATTAATTTATTTTTTTGTTGGAAAACAACCAAACATACCACACTTATGCTTATCTTTTGATCTCGCAAGTTTTCCCAAATTGAATTTGGAGGTCTAATTGGTTGATTTAGTTGTTCACTTGCAATGTTCTTTGACATTCGCCCCGCAACCTCATTTGTTAGGAAAGAGTGTTATGATAGAGCCAAGTTATCCAAATCGTGGAGACAATATATGTCTATGAAAATCAGATAATGGCATGATATTCTTTTTATCCCAAAATTAAAATGTTCTTTACAAAACTAGACTCTTCTTTTTATTTCTCATCATTTATTTGTTGTGTTATGACACTAGAATATGTCAAAATTACAAAAGAGATACATGAAATCTTAAATTTACATCTTAATGAAAGAGCAAGATGGTATAGAAATTGTGTTCAATTACTATGATCATTTATGTAGGATAACTTGTTAATGTTAACTGAAGTTACTGAACTTATCCCTCAAAAGCTTAATTTGCTTAAGCTTTATAAACACGCTCACTATTTATTTTATCCTAAATATTTCTATTTGTAAAAAAGCAAAAATATCATAGCCACTAAATAAATAAGTATTGATTATTATGAAGTCCATATAGGAGTAGTAGCACTATGGAAGCATGATTTTCGACTGTGAGGCATGTGAACGGAAGTGGGGGGATAAGTTTTTTGATTTTCTTTTTAAATTTTTTTCTCCCTATTCTATTACGTTTTGAGGTTCACAAGTTAATACTTATTTAATAAATTACTTACTTCAAAATTCATAAATTTCATCAGTGATGGAAATTCAAAACACTACACTCATTTACGTTTTTAGTTAATTGCACAATGAATCTTGTCATTTGATAACGTGTCAAAACGTATACTATTTTAAAACAAATTAGAACAGAAAAATTAATTTCACTAAGTACATCATATAATTCGGTTACTACTATAAAACATCATCGTATTATTTTAAACTAAATGGTAGCAAAATAAAAATTTCCTCTTCAAAAAAAAAAGATGCGAGATTTTGTATGATTTTATTTATTTAATTTTTTGTGCATATAACACGATATGCACCGTCAACAACTGTGATTAATAAGTATCTGTATTAATATTTGAGCAGTTTTAGTGGGAAAGAAGTAGTTCAAGTGGGCCTCCCATGTACTACGGAGGAGCAGCTTTTTGGAGGCCGAAATTCTCCATATTTTAAACCCGTGAGCACTTATGAGCCCATTTCCTCACCGCACTCGTGCCGACCCACTTCACGGGCTCTCCATTCCCTCTGGCCCACCATCTGACATATACAACTTCTAAAATATATTCTCACTATATAATCCCATTGTGATTGTCCCTGTTATCACAAATGCAACAAAAATAAATTAAAAAAAAATCGTTCTAATTTGTTTCTTTGAGATTGAAAATATACTCCATCTACCCTAAGATTATTATCCAGTTTTAGATTTTTATTTATAGTGTAATTTATACTAAAATTAAAATCTCGAACTAGACAATTATTTTGGGACGGGTGGAGTACTTTTAATTTAATTTTTATTTTTGAAAAAAATGAGAAGACTAAATTCATTCATAACTTTTGAGAATTTTTATTTTTTATTAAAAAAAATCATAGTGTGAGTTACACACTTTGATTTTTGATAACGAATCTTAGATCTTTGTAAAATAATCAAGTATAGCAGAATAAATGATGAGCTAATTATTATGTATACTCTGGTTGTTTTAGTTTCACCAGATGAGTCCTTGCGTAATGAACCGTTACACAATCAATGAAATCGCTTCGTGAAATACTAATATTGATGATGCAGTTCTCAAGTTGTACAGGAAAATAATAACTAATCATACTTTTGAAAAGATGCACTATAAACTTTAAGAGACAATTTATCATAAATTTCTACACCTACGTATCTAATTAATCTGTCCTTTTTTTCCCCTCCGAAAGTGTTCTTGTTTCAGTTGCAATATTATTTATTTATTTATTTCTTTTCGAAGATTAATTATTATCTTCTTTCAACTTTTGAGACCTTCTTTAAGAAATAAAAGGTAAAAAATACTTTTGAGGCATGCGTAATAGGGAGGCACTACAAGTCTCGTCACGACTCACGAGTGCTTCAAGAATTCACAGCACTAAATTTAGCCAGCAAATTAAAGTGCCATTTTTTTTTTTTCTCTTTTAGATGGCAATATTCTTTCTTTTATAGACGATAATCATCTTGGACGGTTAGTTATGGGAGATCGATCAAGATCGCCATAAAACTTTGTTATCATCATAACTTCTTCAAGAATAATTTTGAGTGGATGTTATGTAATTTCAACCAAATTTAATTTTCTTTCGTCAGAAGAAAATTATTTTTTGAGACGGAACAAGTGATTATATATATATAACATAGGGCCAACTTGAGTTGGACATCAAACACTTTTTATGATCAGGGGAGACTCCCGGGTTTCATATATTCCCATGGCCAAACTTATGTATACTAGAACGATTAAAGTATATTATTAATAGGTAATGTTTTGCCTCCCGAAAGATATCTATATGACTCGAATTTGGAGTAATCGAAGCAATGACTTCGGCACTGAATGCGTAATATACTCCTTCCTTTCTTAAAAAATAATTCATATTGAGTTTTCAAATTTGTACTCAAGATAGTACAAAATTCAAAACTCAAAGAGAACTATTTTTGGGACGGAGGTAGTACTAAAAAAATACAACAATGTTTGCGATTGAATATCAATGATTAAGAAGTAGGTAGTGATAGGAGAGTATTAATCAAATCCAAATCGACGTAATAAAATGTTCTATATAAGGAGCGAAGCCCTGCTCACATTACAGCTACTGTGTTGACTGTAACTAGACTACGATTTTTCAACTAACAAAGCAAGCATTGAAAGACGGCTTTCAGAATAGGCTTTTTGTACGAAGAGAAGGTTACACTACTATATAAGTAATTCATTGTGCTAAAGGAACCACTTTGAGGATCAATCCCTTACTGAATGAATGTCCTTTTGATCTGTGATCACAGAAGGAGAAGGCACAGTGAATGCTTTCTATGAGAACCTCTTTCCTTTCTGGCTACCAACCTTACGATGTTTATGACCAATCGGATCCTGACGTACCAGTAGGTACCAGAGGAGATTGCTATGATCGTTACTGTATTTGTATCGAAGAGCTGCGACAAAGTGTTCGGATCATTGTGCAATGTCTTAATCAAATGCCTAGTGGCATAATCATGTTGGAGATTGATTCAAAGTAGATTTGGTCAATTATTTAGTTGTTTAGATTATTCCTGATTTTCTTGTTTTTTAGTTTCAGTTAAGGTGGAATTTGATTCCTATTTTTTCTCTTCATGGTTATTATGTAAAACCTATTTAAAGGCAGTTGGTATTTTATTCATCAATAAGAAAGTAACTAGTTTTTATCAGAATTCTATCTTTTCTCTTCTTTAACGATGAGTTCCTTTTTTCTTTCTTTTTCTTCATCTGAAAAATCCAACATGGTATCAGAGCTTTTTGATCCCGAGAGTCTGTGAAAGAGAAAAAAAACCATGGCTTCTAACAATTTTTCATTTCTTCCACCACCAATTTTCAAAGGTGAAAACTATCAAGCTTGGGCTGTCAAAATAGAAGCTCATTTAAAGGGTCTTGGTCTTTGGCAGTGGGTTGTTAATGAGGTGGAATTACCACCTCTAGGTAACAATCCGACACTTTCTCAGATCAAGACTCATGAAGAAGAAGAAACGAAAGCTCCAAAAGCTTTATCAATAATTTTTTTAGCCGTTTTAGAGTAAGTTTTCACAAGAATCATGACTTGTGAGAAATCAAAGGAGGCTTGGGATATTTTGCAGCAACAATCTCAAGGTGATGAGAAGACGAAGAAAATGAAGGTCTTGAATCTTAAAAGAGATTTTGAGTTTTTAAGCATGAAAGAAGAAGAAATTGTGGAGAATTTTTCTGAAAGGTTGATGACATTGGTGAACAAAATTCGCTTGATGGGAGAGCAACTACCTGACAGCCAGATTGTAGAAAAAATGCTTGTGAGCTTGCCAGGAAAATTTGAAGCAAAAATCTCGTCTCTCGAAGATCAAAAGATGTCAGTACAATGACTCCATCAGAATAGATCATCTCTCTACAAGCACAAGAGCAGAGAAGAATTATGAGAAATACTAGAAAGAAATAAGTAATTGATGGACCTTATATGGCAAGGGTCTCCAAAGGGAAGGGTAAAATCACTGAATGCGAAAATTGCAAGAAACCGGGTCATGAAGAAAAAGACTGTTGGTTTAGAGGAAAGCCTCAATGCTATAAGTGCAAAAGATTTGGACACTTACAAATAAATTGTATGACTAAAGTTGAAGAACAAGCCAATGTTATGTTGGAAACTGAAGAAGAAACACTTTTTTGAAGAAGGTTGGTGAGAAGGTGCATCAACAA